CAATGCTTGTCGAGGGAGTGCATGCGTAGCGTAGACTTCGTCAGCGTAATCTGGAGCTCTAAATCTCGTTTCGATAACGCAACATAGTTATCCATTTCCAAACTCTCGTAGAAGTCTTGAACTTCGCAAAGGTCCAGGAGGAACTTGTTCACACGCTCCCTTATTATCATGGACGAAATGGCTGGAGCTTGGACATATAAGGCTCCTTGGCATACGATGGCTTGTTCGCAAGGTTTTGCAGCATCTTCGCGACCAGGGTAAGGGTGCGGCGGGGTTTGTCGGATGGAGTTGCCTCAATGAGCATGTAGGATCGAGGGGTAACGATGGCAGGATTGATGAATCGCAAAAAGAAAAACCCGCCAATAAGCGTACAAATGGTCTGGTCCTGAGCATCAGGGTATTTTCGTCTTGAGAGACTTCGGATCTGTTTGCAGATCCATCGAATGCCATAGGGAGTTTCCTCAAGGCCGTCGATGATTGTTTCTAGGAATGCATTCGCAATGTCTGTCAGCGTCTTCAGCCGTGGCGCAATGATCTGTTGAACTTGTTCATTTTCCGCAGCTACCTCTGCCGTGACCGATTTCGGCAAATAAGGCGGGAGAGATCCAGTGGAGGCTTCGATTTGCTGCACCATAGCCTCATATACTTTTAACGGATTGATTTCCAAATCGACATCATTTAGCTCGATGAGGGAATTGATCTGGTCGGCCAAGACCTGTTTCAAATAAGCCTGCCCCGGGCCTCGCCTGGTGTAAGTAGTCATCATGCGGGAAACGGGAGTATTTTGGCGCAAAAGGGAAGAGTATTCTGGGGTATTATCGAATTGGTAAGTTAGAACGGATTGGAACATAGTTAGTAGCAGGTGTTCCTCTCGACTTTCATATTGGTTGCCGTAGATGGTGAACATGACTGTCTGAAGCAGGGAATCGATTTCGGCCATTGTCACCAGGCGACATAGATGGGCGATATGACGGGGTTCTGATTGTAAGAGAAAGAGGAGGTTTCCATATTTTTGGGTCTTGTCGTCATTCGGAAAGAAGCCCTCTTGTAGATCGTTGGCATCCTCAAGATGGCTGGCAACCTCGTTTTGCTGTTAGAGGAATTAGCGTTGTCTTCATCAACGTTTATACTCGACAAACACATAAAGATAGGGTGCCAAATGCCAAATGCCCTGGAGGAGCGTTATCATACTTCTTCTAGCGCCATTCGATTCTGAATTAGAAGCGCAATTCGTGAGTCGAGATAGCGAACATCCTTTTCTAATACGAAGTTCTTCTTAGACTGCGAGGATATCTTGGACTTGAGCTCGCGCAAGGCTCTTTGGGCTAATTGAAAAGGAATAAGTTTAGCGGAGGGTCCCATGCAAATATTGACACTCACAATTTACGAACCTTTAGCTAGATCATCCGAAATTTCCAAGTCCTTCTCCTTGGCCGACATTGACAGGTACAGCGCCGTGACGGACATTCTTTTCGATTGCCTGACGGATCTGGTATCATGGGAGGATAAGGTATTTTGCCTGGAGACAGGCTGGAAGGAGGAGGTAGAGGAGGTTGTCGAGGCCCGCGAGGCTCTCGACGCGGGTTGAAGCATTGTTGCGACCGACATTGTGAAGTGGAATTAGGCGATCAGGCTATCGCAATAATACGCGATTAATGAAATAATAGTAGAAACAAAGATAGAAATAAATAATATAAAAATATCAAAGTAAAAATGGGTCGAGAAACTATATGGCGTTGTTGGATGGTGGAAAGACGTTGAGACTAGGAGAGCGGGAGAGCCGTTGAAGAAAGAAAGGGGACGTTGGCAATCCCTAGACTTTTCCCTTTGTGCGTCGCTGGGGTATTTTTTTTTTTTTTTTTTTTTCAGGATGGTTGTAGCAACCTGGAAGGACTCTTAGATTGCAAGAAGAATGCTCAAAAATTCTTCAATGGCACGAGAGTGTTGAGCCAGCGACGAGGTAGAATGGGATTATTGGAGCTTCGATGGCAAGAGTGAGATCATGGAAGCCGAATGCATAGATGCATTCAGCTACAAAATCTGTAAACGCAGTGGGCGGCGCTCTCTCTCTTTTCCCCCCGTCGAAAACTATGGCTTCCCTCCAGCTGAGCCACAACCACCACACACGAGAAAAAAAGAGGGGAGGAGAGACTTCGGTTACAGGAACGTGGAGAGACAATGGACTCTCCGGGCCTGAATGAGGGTGTTTCTCTGTGAGTATCCCCGGTGCGAATCGCTTTGTTTGAGTCTGGCGCTCGTTTGAGTATACGATTGGACAGTAGTAGGCGGGAGGGCGGGAGGGAAGTGAGACGTGGGCGGGAGTCAGTCCAGGTGCGAATTGATATATGGATGGATCGGATGGCGGAAGTATCCAGGGAGGGGGACACGAGCGATGGAGGGAGGAAAGAATCGAGGAGCAGTCGATAAAGTCGTCAGGGGGATAGTCGAGGGGTTGCTCGACGGATGGTACGATGGGCGATGGATGGATGGATGATGGATTGGACGGATGGTGAGATGGACAGAGACAACAGACGGAGGACTGAGGACTGAGGACGGATGTGGTGGTTCTGATGGACGCTGGCTAACTAGTAGTTGTGGAGCGAGCCTGAGACTTGGAGGCTGAGGACGGAGGACAGGGGAAATCGACCGGACCAGTGGACGCTGGTGCAGGGAACGATCATAAAAACGCCATCAATGGCAAATTGCACAGAGCAGTAGTATATTTATTCAATGCTAGCGGAGGCATAGAGTAGAGCAAAACTGAAAATAACATCAAAAACGAGCTGCAAGACAGAAGGACGACGAAGAAGATGCAGAAGACTGACAATCGCCAGTGGAGGACAGACAGCCCGAGACAGGAGGCAGAGTATTTCTGTACAAGTACGTAACGATGTATGATGATGGATGACTGGCTTCAAACACACACTCAGGTACCCGGAGCCAGGGGAAGAAACCACTCCCAAAAAGTCGCCAGGAGTCAGTCAGGGACAGGAGATGGATGATTTCTACGCAGCAGTAGTAGTTATTAACTATTATTATTAGTTATTGCTTATTTCTATTATTTTTAAGACTGTCTATCCTGCTTCTGCTGCATGTTCCCCTACATTAACTCCCCGCTGTCACCACGGCCTCCGTCTAAATGGAGACTTAAAAGGGGTGGGGGGGGTGGGGTTTTAGTGATGTACAGCGCACTTTTCCTCTGTAGATGCCAAAATGAAAAGAAAACCCCCAGACCAGGTGAGAAGCTGCTCCACCTCTGCTAGATAGAGTTAGTTACTCCACACGATGAAAAAAGAATGAACATG